AAGGCTAAAACTTTTTAGATCATCTCTGAATTGTCCCACAGCTGTGACCAGTTGCTGTTGTCATATGTGGGCTCCGAAACTTCCATTCACATTTTTATCTAGTATTCTGAACTCAGGAACTGCTCTGCATGGGTTCACTGAGCAATCCGTTGGTCATCAAAGTGAGAAGCACGTGGATTGAACTATTGCTTGCCCCACAAGTAACTCGGCCAGATGCAACAGGATGCTTTGAAGAATAGTTCTTTATGTACCTCCTCTGATAAACTAATTTTTCAGATCTTGGTCTAAAACTTTCTATACCCAAGTAGGAAACCCATCTCCAAGTATGTATGCCATAGTGCAGTACTAGTCTGTAACTTCTTACCATGCTTTTTCCCAGAATAACTTTTTGCATACCCCCTTACTAGCTAGATCTCTTATAATGTATATCTGCAAACCTGTTCCTGACAGTTTATATCTCTGGGAAAAATTCTGGTGGTGTTGACCTGATTACTTGGTGTATGACCTACTGAGCTATTCAGTGGGATCGGCTGGTATGACCTCCTTAAAGGATTCTGCCACACAGGTGTGTGTGTGGGGTTATCCTAGCCTAGAGAGGCCACGTGTAGGACTGCAGTCATGTGCTTCAGCAGTCTTGCTTTGTAGTGGAGGGAATCTTACATGCTAATTACAAATACAGTTCCTCAGAAAACTATCCCCTGACAATGAGAAGAGGCTTTTTGTATCTTAGAAATAACAAAGAGATTCTGAAGGACTTTTGACCCTAGTCAGCAGTGGTATATAAAGCCGTGTCTTAGGTGCTAAGATGTCTTTAAAAAATCAAGATACGCAAAATAATCATTAGTTTTTTAAGTTACATTCACTGCTTTGCTTTCTCCATTTCTCTCTTTAGTGTTAGAAGCTGATAATACTTTCCTGGCTTGTGCTGTTGGTATGGAATCTGTGATTGTGAAATAAAACTCTGTGTTCCCTTCTAATGATTTTTTTATTTCTATTTTTAGCTGAAGTTACAGTTCTTGTACTCCTAGATTCCCTGCCAATTGTTGGTTTGGTTTGTGTTTTTTTTTCTTTAATTGCCAGTGTTATAAATTTGCTCTGTTGCTTGTTTAATTCTGATAAAATAGCCGATAGTTGGCAAGGACTCCAGATGAAAAAATTTACCATGAAGTAAACAGGTTTTTGTTTTTTGAAAGAGAATTTTCCAACCCTTCTGCATTATACAACAAATTGCTTTTTTTTTCTACTTAAGTAATTTATTTTTTCTTCTTGAAATGTAAGCATTTGAACAAGTGAGAGAGTGCAGCTGTCAGAAGATTAACCAGCTGAAAACTATTGTCAGCATTAATTTTGTTCTAATAAATGACTCTCTGAAGCTATTTAGCAGTCTGTAATCTAGATACAAGGCTATTGACCTATGATGGATAGTACTGGATTTTGTTTGTAAGCTTTGACTTAAATTGTCTACTTAATTTGCTGCAGGTCAGATCACAGGATTAGTGGTAAAGGCCATTATGTGGTTTGAATAAAAATAGCTAGAGGAATGGAATGAAAATCATTGTGTTTATTAATGTAGCAATCTTTGCGGTCATGTACATAGTAAACTGGTAGCCAACAAGATGACAATGACCTATTTGTGTTAGGGTTAGCTCTTAGCCCAGTCCTGTGAGTTGCCTGGGGAGGAGTTGTTAAATGAGATTAAGGATTGGCTGCAAATAGGGTGTCTCTCAACCTGAGCAGGAAGAGCTTTACCACTGTAGATATTGCAGTGCCTCAACAGTGTTGCATATGTAGACTGATATTTTTTAAAGCTGTGGGTCTGACCAAGTTCTTCTGGATGCTCCAGTTCTGGACTCACCAGTACAAGAAAGATACAGATTTACTGGAGTGGGTCTGGCTAAGCACTGTGAAGATGATGAAGGGACTGGAGCATCTTTCTTATGAGGAGAGAGTGAGAAAGATGAGACTGTATACCACAAAGAGAAGGCTCAGGGGGGATCTTACCAATGTGTGTAAAAAACTGATGAGAGAGAATGAAGAAAAGGGAGCTAGGCTCTTCTCAGTAGTGCCCAGTGACAGGATAAGAGGCAATGGGCACAAATTAAAACACATGAAATTCCAACTGAAACACAGGAAGATGCTTCTTCACTACGAGGGTAGTCGAATGCTAGAGCAAGTTGCCTAGAGAGGCTGTGGGTCTCTGTCCTTGAAAATATTCAAAATCCAGCTGAGCCAGCTTGATCACAGGGGTTGAACTGCATGATCTTGAGAGGTCCCTTCCAACCCCAGTAATCCCGTGATTCTGTGATTGTAGGTTGTAATACAAGTTGAGCAACTGCTCCATCAGTGGGAGCCTCTTTCCTCTACTCTTCAAAAGATGGTTCATGTTGGAAGGCAGGATCAGGGAAATAAATGCATAACAGATACAGAAAGGGGCATTTGTATACAGAGCAGTTGCACAAACACAGTGTATCATTTGAAATTTTTATGGGAAAGCAAACAAAGATTCTTCAAATTCTTCACTGTGAGGAGCTGCAGTGTTACTGTCCTTCATGTCAGAAAAGAAGTCCAATGCCAGCCACTTCATTCTTTAGCTGTAGTGTAGCACTTACTTAAGACTTTGAGAGAAGCTCTGATTAGCTTGCTGTGGTTGCACACTTTATCAGAATCTTTTGTGCACAAACTTGGTTGCCATGGTGGCTTATACTTGTGGACTTACTTACTATTTTATCTTTCTAATGTTTTTCTATTGCATGATTTCATTTATTAATGGGGAACAAGGAAAACAGAAATGCCCTGTGTAAGTTATTCTGAAAGAATAACTTTCTGTTGTTTGAGGTTCAATTGTATCTTTTGTTTATTTCTTTTACAAAGCTCTTCAACTAATAAACTTTTTTAGAGTGCATTTTCATTTGTTCCTACACAACATCTAGCTCAGAGAAGGCAGTTCCAGTTACACTTTGGAAACTATTTCAGTTGAAACATTTATTAATGTTTATTATGGTAGCTAGTTTGTGACAAAGAATTGTGAACCGCAGCTGGAGAACAGCCTGACTTACTGTAGAAACAAAATGGTCCACCACATCAATTAAGAACAAATCTTCACTTGGACATTCTGTTTGTAAGAACACCATACCTGGTTGAGCACGTTTAGTTTGAAAGCAGGTCATCATCTGTGGCTGTATATCCTAACAGGCCAAAGTCTGATGCATGGAATAGAAAATGTATAGTGGCTATGCTTCTTGGCAAAGTGAAAAATAATGAGGAAGCTGATGTGTTTATCAGTTTGGGCCAGATTTTCCTAGCAGCTAGCAGTTCTAGCCATTAAATGTTGGAGATAAGATTAAGGTTGTATGAGTAATTCGTATTAGAATTAGGCTTCTTTTAAGGAATAGAATATTTCATGGGTAGATTATAAATATCACATGGAAAAAAAAACTGCTGGTTTTGTCCTTTGGAACTGTATAAGAAGTGCAAGGTCCTACGTCTGGGTCAGGTGCAATCCTAGGCACAGGTTGGACAGTGAAGTGATTGAGAGCACCCCTGCAGAAAAGGACTTGGGGGTATTGGTCATGAGAAACTGAACATGAGCAGGCAGTGTGCACTTGCAGTCCAGAAAGTCAACTGTATCCTGGCCTGCATCAAAAGAAGTGTGACCAGCAGGTTGAAGGAGGTGATCCTGCCCCTCTACTCTGCTCTTGTGAGACCTCATTTGGAGCACTGTGTACAGTTCTGGTGTCCTCAACATAAAAAGGACATGGAGCTGTTGGAGCAAGTCCAGAGAAGGGCCACGAGGATGATCAGGGGGCTGGAGCACCTCCCTTATGAAGACAGGCTGAGAAAGTTGGGGCTGTTCAGCCTGGAGAAGAGAAGTCTGCGTGGAGACCTCATAGCAGCCTTCCAGTATTGAAGGGGGCCTATAAGGATGTTGGGGAGGGACTCTTCATTAGGGACTACAGTGATAGGACAAAGGGTAATGGGTTCAATCTTAAACAGAGGAGATTTAGGTTGGATATAAGGAAGAAGTTCTTTACAGTGAGGGTGGTGAGGCACTGGAATGGGTTGCACAAGGAAGTTGTGAATGCTCGCTCCATCCCTGGCAGTGTTCAAGGCCAGGTTGAACAAGGCCATAAGCAACCTGGTCTAGTGGGAGGTCTTTTAATTCTAACCCCCTAAAATGGGTCCTTTCCAACCCAAATCATTCTATGATTCTATAACCAAAGAAGTATGGTGTGTGCTTACTGACCTGTGGTAAAGACGAGGCAGGCTTACAGGAACTATATAGGAACAAAACTGGGAATCAAGTGTTTGTGTGTGTGAGAGAATCATTTTTACATTGTTTTTAACAGAGTTCTTTCTGTCTTTGTGTATGTGTTAAGTTTAGGAAATGTAATACAAAGGTTCTGAAATTAAGTAGAATTTCACTTCAGATTAGAAACATAGTAGACTGCAGAGGTTCAGAAGGCTTGGTTTTATATGCTGTGTTTTAGATGTTCAATTACGTGAAAATCAGGAAACGTTAATGAAAATTAGCCTAGGTTTGGAAAAGCTGATAAAAGAAGAGTTAACTTTGAGCAATAATTTGTCAATAGTCATTTGTCAAGAATTCGTGAAAAGTAGTGTGACTAAACTTTTATTTAGTAATTCACATACAGTGAATTTTGCGGGGTGCGAAGGTGCAATAAGGGTTGATTTTTTCATATGAAACCATAAAGAGCGACATTGTCAGTTTTCTGCAAATCTTGTGAATTGTTTAACTGTCAGTATGCCTGAAAGATAAGGTGGCTTTATCTTCACCAAATGTTTGAGAATTAAGATCTCTGATCCTGTATGTACTGGGACTATACGCTTACTTTTACGTAGACTTTGAAAGGTTCAGAATAAGTGAAGTATCAAGCACACAAATTTTACATCATCAGACCCTTACTGGTAAGATAAACTACATAAGTTGGGTTGTTTTTTTTTTAAATAGTGATGTTAAATACAATGTTGTCTTGATTCAGGTGTTGGAGCTGCTCGAGCTGGAAACCTTACTTTCATGGTTGGTGGAGTGGAACAAGAATTTGATGCTGCCAAAGAGTTGCTGACATGCATGGGTTCTAACGTGGTCTACTGTGGGGCGGTTGGAACCGGACAGGTAATGCTTCCTGAGGCTTTACTAGTTACCTCAGTCTTTTTTTTTTTGTCACTTTGTTTTTCTTTAATGATACCTACTCTTTTATTCCAGAACTAAATGCATGATAGTATGTCTTCGTACTTGTTTGCTTGTTTACTTGTCTTCAACCATGTGTTTATAAAATAACCTCATGGCACTCTTCTCCAGCATGTTGTATGGCTTAGCACCGAAACATCTGACATGGTGCTTCTCCACATTGGCTCAATGATACTACTTAGAGGACACAGATTTAATTTTGTTTCTTCTGAATTTAAGTTTACTGAATGTTCTGAAGGACAAAGAGCCCCATGCGTGCCATGTATACTAACTGAGCTACTGTACTAAGAAGAAAAAGGAATCATAGGGCAGCTTTCATTGACTTTATACTATTGTAAATCTGTGCTTACTGCTGCTGCCTTTAGAAGAGAGCTGTCAAAACAGATTTGATCATACTGTCCCAGACCTAGTTAAAGAAGATTCTTACATGTTAGGTCTATGAAAATGCAGAAACTAATTGACGGTTTAACTTACTTTCAGGCTGCAAAGATCTGCAACAACATGCTTTTGGCCATTAGTATGATTGGAACTGCTGAAGCAATGAATCTTGGAATCAGGTTTGTTTGATTTTTGTATTGGATTGAAACATTTTCACTGTGTTAACAGTTTTTGTGGTTTACGGTTGACTTTCGCTGAGAGAATGATGATTAGATGGCATAGATAAACTTCTGCCTGAACTTCTCTTATAAAGTTTTTAACATGCTAAAGGGATTATTTTACATAAAGTATGGCTCTTCACAGGAATATTCTCTTGTATTGGCTGTATAGGTTGTTGCATTCTGCATCTGAAGTTAAGAGTTCATTTGTTCTGCTGTAGTGCAATGTACAGTAATGTTTATCTTGCATTATAAACATGTAGAGGTAATATAGAAGTGACTTTCTAAGCTAATGTACAGTCCATTCAGAGTATTATACTCCTATATGGCTCTTGTTGGCTTTGTTTACTTTGTTAAATTGTTCCAAAATATATTGTAAAGTAAAACTTCTAGTACAGTGTGTATATCAAATTAAGTTTAAAAGCATAAAAAAGAATATCTACCTTTCTGTTTGACTTTATCACTGCAGTTTGTCCTAATTGCCAAAACTGCTACTTTGTCAAAAGGCTGGAGCATGCTCCACTACATTCTTGTCAGTGCTAAGAGTACCATTTCTTTTCTAGGCGGTAATACATTTGACTTTAAGTGGCAGCATATTGAAACAAAATTATTTTTCCTGTCCAATTGTAACCTATTTATTTTGTTGCGGTCTTTGAGATTTTGTTTTGTTTTCCAATAGAGTGCATACAAGTACCAGTTCAGTATCACAGTATTTGAACCTTTCATAAATTTTTAGCCAGATCTAAATAATTTGCAAATTTATAGACAGACAAGTCCTATGTTCAAAGAGATTATCCTGCAATTGTGTATATTTTAAGGGCTCTTCATGAATTATTTATCTGCACAATTGCATCCTTAAAGTTGGCCTGCTAAAACTACAGATATCATAGATACTTACCAACAAGGCTTTAGACCATGTGTTCGTGTGGATTTGATACATTGTAAAAATCAGCAAGAGGGCATCAAGTGCTTAAATAAAATAGAAGGCCTACATATGCACACATACACAAAGCAATGTAATGGATTCACATTTCCTCTTAATTACCATATCAAGATGCAGTTGTTTTATTGAATTGCCCTTGTCTCAGATGTTAGACTATCTTGACCTATTAAGTTGTCATGTTGTAATTGAGATAAAAGAGGAATTTGCTTTGCATCAGTGCTAATTGGTTTATCAATATCCTGTACCATTTACATTTTAAAATTGAGAGTCTGTAAGATACTGAAGCATGTCTGCATCAAGCCATAATAAAAACAGTAGCATTGTTTACATCTGTTGTAGTCCAGCATAGTGTAAAGCTTTCATCAGGTTCTGGTTTAAGTCATTGTTCACTTAATACAGCATATGCAACTGATTTTTCATTATATTTTTATCTACATTTGTAGGAATTACTAGAGTTACAATTTGAGATAAAATAAAATCAAGAGGTTTGGAAGACACATATTCTGGGCATGTAAGCCCTGTGCAGAATGAGTTGATGTCTGCAGGCACTGTAGCTTGAGGTGTTTAGAATTTTCATTTTGTCCTTTTCCAGTTTAAATTTTGGCTGAATTTATATTTAGCATTTCTAAAGAGAAATCCAGTGTGAAGGTGGCAATATGCAAACCTTCCTACCCTACAATCGTGGTAATCAGGGAGAAACTGTACTTATTGTAGAAGAAGCTAATTGTAACCCAAATTATACAATGAGCAGTGTCTTGTTTAGTCTGAAAGCTGCATGAGATTTAAGACAGAGGCAGTAATTTTAAGTCTTATGAAGTAATTTAGAGCCCTTGCATTGACTTTAATGTGCCGTGATTTAAATCCTGGAGAAGATGGCTTCTGCTTATAACTAAAATAAGAGCTTTCAACTTCTGGTGTGTACAGATTTCTTATGTGCAAGTTAACAGTTTCAATTCTAATTAATTCTAAGTTTTGCTATATCAATACATTTATTAGATTTTATTTTTTTTTTCCAAGTCTAAAACTCAAAGGATAGTGTGGCTGCCTCATCTGGAAAGAGTAGGAAGCTGAACCTGATTTATTAGATTGATGCATATCTGATGAAGAAACTCTGACCTAATAAAGGACACTGGAATTCTAAAAAATTCATAATAGGAATTGTGGTGCTTAGACATGTTCTTAACTTCAGATAGAATATAAAATATAGTCATGTTGTGCATTGTTTATATCTGCAACATCATTTAAATCTTGAGGTTTAGGGACTTTGGATAATTAATTATTCAAAATATTGCTGACTGAACTAGACGTAACTAGAAAGTCAAATTACAGCAGCTTTGTGAGCTGATACTATCACATTGTCTTCAAAACAGGGTGGTATTAATTCTATTAATAAGCCACCTCTTCTCTAATATTTTCATAAACGATGTAGCCTAAATTTTCATTTTCTGAAGCAGAGAGTTATTGTTTTATTCATTTCAGATTTTTAAATTACATCTGCTATTGGTTTATTTATTTTATCTTTGAAGTTACAGGATTTTTCCAAACTCCAACATAAGTAGTAAATAGAATGTGGTGAGGAGGAAGGAAAACAGACATTAATGAGCAAAAATTCCACAATGAACTCCCAGAAAAATAGGCAATATTGCTATGTAGTTTCTGAATTTATATTCCACTTGCTTTTCTACTTTAATATCACCTTTATGTACAAATCATCTTCATTTATTAATGAAGATGTGTGTTTTCACTGGAAGTGATTTGGTTTAAATTTCAAACTAACTTTAAAAAATAAAAATCTTTCCTGCGTTCTGATCATTGAAATTCTTGGTTTGCTATAGTTTGGGTTTTTTCCATTAATTTCCTGATGCCTTACAAATGTTTCTACTGAAAGTTAGAAGGTATGGCAGGTGTTCTGGAAATGAATTCACATAGTCTTTTGTATTTTCTTTTTTTTCTAGCATGATAGTGCAACTTGTCTGTAGAAAAATCTTGAGTAGATTTTGCTATATGGTTTTATAGATAATGTGGATATTACAAAATACATTAGTAACCGTGTCAAACCAACACACAGAGTACATGTAAACTTCACAAATAAAAACATTAGGTGATACTGTCCACAGCCAGAGATTCTTTTTCTTTTTGCTGGTCATCTTGGTGTCGGTAGCTTTCTCTTACTGAGACCCAAGTTCCAGTGAAACAGTGTGAAATACTAGCAAAATAAAGCTCAGAAATGAAATATTGTTGATAACTGGTTTGTGTTTAGGTCAGATGGAAGTTTCTGCCTGTCAGGCAGTTTGCCATCCCTTCAGAAACTGCCTGCACAGACACAGGGAAGGGCTTATATGGCGACACAAGGCAGGGCAAGATTGCTTAATATGGTTGGGATATAAGGGACCAGGAGAGGAATAAGGGCTCTATGGCAATAACCTCACAGTAAAATCACTTTTGTGCTTCCAACAGCGGAGAGAGTCACCTCTGTGAGGGGGGACTGCAGTGGCACCCAGATTTATACTAAAAGCTGCAAATACAGCTCTTTCCTAAGCAATTTTACTGTGTATGGATTTGTGCCTGCTTCCTTTTTTAGATATATAAAGTGAAACAATGGTAGAAGAAATTTGTCTTCTGATGCTGAGTCTAAATGTGGTTTCAGTCTCTAGGTTTGGTTTCTGTGAGCGCCCCTGAACTGTAGTGGAAGACGAGCAGAAATGGGAGTCAACAGAATAGAGAGGAGCGTATGCTGCAGGCTGAGAGATGATTAGCCCTGGGCACATCCCCAGTGCAAATTTTAGGAGTGCCTTGAAAAAACAATTCCTCCAAGAGCACTGTGGCTGTGCTGTCTTCAGCATGGAGCTATAGCTAAGTCTTGCAAAAGTTAGTAATGACACTTGCAAGCACTTACCTTGTTTAAAACGCCAATGGCAAAGTCATTTTTAGCTGTGGTAGAAGGGTTCTAAGGGTCTGTCTGCTTGAATATTTGCTATTTCATATGGTATTTATCCAAAGCACCTTGAGACAGGAAACTCTCAACAATTCAGCTACTTCAGTTGTTACACCTTAAAATGAGACTGGGATGTATCTTTTTTGTGAGATGCCATTTAATTTTTCTGCCTGTTCCAGACTGAAATATTGGAGGAGTGCATGAAAATTACAGTACATGGTTTTATCAAAGCTCGGCAAAACTTGAGTTTTGAGAATTGGCTCAAAGAGATCCTATTTTAACCATTTTGGGGAGGGTATGTGTGTTTGTTGCTGAGTTTCTGCTGTTCAGTTCATTAGGAGTGTTATTGAAGAAGCAATGATTTGAAGGAAGCAATTGTTTTTGCTCTGTTATAAGTACAATTATACATGGGTTTCTTTTCTGCTTATAAGGGAGAAGAACATTTTGGTAATTGTAAATTCACACGCGCATGCACAAGCTCTTGCCACGTCCAATGGCAAGTTGTTATGGGGACTGGCAGACTGTCATCATTTTGATAGCTTGAGCAGTATATCTCTTGAACAGAAATGGAGCTCTTATGCAGAGAGTATCGTATGTTCCCAGCCAATTTACAGGGAAACAGCAATAACATTTTATCATGGTTGAGAGCCCAGTAGCTGCTTCCTATTAAACTTGCCCTTTCAGATACCTGTCTTGGATTAATTTGTTGATTTCAAATGGAAACTCAGTCTTCTCCACTGAAGCATGTCTTTCTAGGATAGACTCTCACTGAATGACAATTACTGTATATTCTAGCTGGTTTCAGACCATTACAAGCTTTGGGCACAGTGGAAGACAGAGGACTTCTTCAGTAACTGATTTTAATATATATCTAATTTTAACAGTCAGTTATATATGCACCAGTGGATGAATCCTCAGAAAGATGAAATGCAAAGCACTTCTAACTTGCTGTTATTAATGATACGCTTGCTGCAAAGGAGAAAAAAAAATATGTTCAGGTCTCCTGAAGAGAATCTGTGTGGTGTTTAAGAGCAATGAATTTTGAGGAGGCAGGGATTTTAAAATGACACTGTCTTCCTTTTTCTTTTCCAAGAGCAAAAATATGCCAGATGTAGTGCAGACAATATTTTATAAACCTGTATAATACACACATATCTTTTAAAGTATACTTTCAGAGAGAAGTAGTTTGAAACACTGTGAGAAGAGCATTTTTTGGGAGGGCTATACGCATTTTGAAATAATAATCTGTCTTGCAGCATACTCTCAGCTGTAATAATGGGCCTCTGCGTGCAGCTAGATAGGGCACAGGCAGGCACTGCGTTGTTAAAAATACCAATCTGGGTGTAACAATGTTAAGGAAAGAAACAAACGAAGAGATTTGTTTTGGCCAGAAAAAGCAACCTCTGTGTATTTGAAAGCTCAGGTATTTCCTGCTCCCACTGTGGGTTTTTTGGATGACAATTAAAGCTGTTATTCAGACTGGCTCTTGATGAAGACTTTGATGTACTGTGTAAGATAAAAGTACAATTCAAATACTGTGAAAATATATTGGTGCTGGAATATTTGGGTTTGGTTTTGTTTTGGGGGGTTTTTTTGGTAAATAAATGGCCATTGAAAGCATTCAGTTGAGTTAGAGTTGGAAAAAATGGGAAGGAGAATAAAGCTTGATCCCATTCAGGCCAGCAGGGGACTTTCCATTCAATACCAGGGGCTGCTGCAGCAATTCAAAAATAAAAGTGCACAGCAGTAATGCTAAAGAGCTACCTTTGCGGTACAGAAGGTGATCTTGCTTTGTATTAGGAGGGCAGAATTGTAGGAGACACATACCGTCACAGGAACAGGAACCATGCTGCAGGGCCCACTGTCTTAAATGTATTTTTCAAATCTGAAATGCCCACTGGAATAAATACACATAAATTTTAGCAGCTCTTCCATTGATAATGAGCTTTTCTCATCTACAGATTAAAACCTTGAGTGCTACAGCCCCTGGAAGTGGTGCTAGGATTGCCATGGCTATGGAGATCTGCAAAAAATCTGTGGTTTAAGAGCTAATGTAAAAAGTGTTGACTTCTATAAAAAATCTTTGTAGAAGGTTGTGATATATCCTTTTTAAAATGGCCTTTTCTTGGAGTGTTACTGGAGATAATTCCCTTGCTTTCTGTTTTGTCATGAGTGTAACTGAACATTTGTACAGGGCCAGGTAGACTGCTGCTGCTCATTGTTGGTATAAATGCAATTGGTGTAAAATTACACTTGTAACTTCGTATCAGCATAAATGTGAATTCATAAGAGGGTTAATTTCCTATAATACTGAAGAACTTTCAGGGTCTACAGTGAGCAGCAGTTTATGCCATCAGCTCTGTGATAGATCAAATGATGTTTCTACTTGGACAAGCTTTGTCTTATCAGGATCAGTAACCTTATCAACAGTTGACCCAGAACTATAATACATGTTTGCAAATAGATAACATATGTCACAGAACCAGATTTGCCTTATAAGCAGGAGTATATAATGAAGATTTAATAATAACAAAGCAAAGAATGTACAGATGTACAGCAGTAGTATTTTTTGAGAAGTGTAGCATTTCTGTTCACATTAGAGCAGGATCATTTGCATTATCTTATATCAAAAATGCACTAGCGTTCACTTATAAACACATCACACAAGTACTTTCACGCTGCCAACCTTGCTTGTGACTTTTTTCCTTTGTTCAGCTTTAGAGAATGTAATTTTGATATGAAGAACAACGAGGTGACCTAATAAGTAGCAGAATAGAAAATGCCTTTTAGTAATTGAAATACAAGGGAACTAGTGTTCACCGAGAACTTCTATTTTTCTTGCACTTTCAGATTTGCTAGGTGAAGGGGATTTGCTTAGTACAAAAAGAAAAAAGGTCTGAAAACCTACTGCTTAAATGGTGGATTGATGCTCTTTAATTTAACATGCTGCATCCCTACCCCCAATATCAATACTCTCTCATTTTTCATGACTTATAATAAAGGGAGAGAAATGATTGTAGGGTCCTAAGATATAAAACAAGTCACCCATGTCTTGTGCATTTTGACATTAACACTTCTCTCCCTTGACCTTTGACAGATTAGGCCTTGACCCAAAGCTGCTGGCCAAAATCCTAAATATGAGCTCAGGTCGCTGCTGGTCAAGCGACACGTACAACCCTGTTCCTGGAGTGATGGAAGGAGTACCATCTGCTAATAATTATCAAGGTGGCTTTGGAACAACACTCATGGCTAAGGTATATAACAGTCGCATATAAAGTATGTACAGTTGCTTCTCTCTGGGCTTCTAGCAAATGTTCTTCTTAGTGAAAATTTATAATTACAGGGAAATATGTGTGCATGTACAGAGGGGAAGACAACCTCTTACTGTAGCTCTGAATTAATGAGCTGTGTAGGGGGCTTTTCCTTACCCTCCAGCCTCTTTCTGTCCACTATTACTGCTGAGCCACTCAGGGAGATTATATGCACTGTCTTTTTGAGTTCTGTCTTAATCCAGGAGTCCTGATGGATGTGTGTATGGCCAGCATTCAGCAAGCCATTTAGGTTCCTTTTCCATGACTGCACTACAATTTAGGAGCCTAAGCTCGAGAACAGTTCAGGGAAATCCAGGTGACCTAATTAGGTGTGAATAGTGGCATAAGCACTAAGATTTTGGGCTCCATCTCTTCTAGATACCTTAAACTGGGCTACTAGACTAGCATCCCTTTTCCTTGCTAAGCCAAGTGCTTACATGCTTGTCTTTCTGCCTAAGACCATTTGGAATGCGGAAAGAAGCTAGGTTTCAGCGCACACCCCGCAGACTGATTTTTCTGCAGGTATCTGCACCATGCTGTGAGCTCTACTGAATTGTCTTTGTTGGTGGCAGAACTAGTGCTCCTTCTTATGAGTAATAAGCTAGTAATCTAAATTACTTGTCCACAAAGTGGGCAATCTGGGACTTAGGTCCTTCTCAGCAGGAGGAAGTTGTAACCTACAGTTATCCTACCCCAGGAGAATGCACTTACTGCCACATTCTTGGGTGTTCTAGGAAAAGTTCTCTTCTGAGTCACTCTGTGGTCAGGAAAGCAGCACTATTACAGGCCAGAGGAAAGTAGGCAAGGAGGTCAGGGCCCTGCATCCCACTGATGAGGACACACAGTTGGAGAAAGGAGCTATAGAACTCTGACTGTTGAACTACTTGGTGTTTAGCACAGTGATTGTCTAAGGTAAATTATAAAACCAACCCTGGAAGAGAACTCTCATCTGAGCATGTAAGTGCAGTAAATCTTTTCCCACTGAATATTAGTATCGTGGGGATAATGTCCTGAGGGAGGCATTTGAATTTATACATAGAATCATACAATGGTTTGGGTTGGAAGCGACCTTAGAGATATCTAATTCCAACCCCCTGCCATGGGGAGGGACACCTTCCACTATAACAGGTTGATCAAAGCTCCATCCTCCCTGGCCTTTAACCGTGCCAGGAACGGGGAATTCATAACTTCTCTGGGCAACCTGTTCCACTGTCTCACCATCCTCATAGTGAAGAATTTCTTCCTACTGTCTAATCTAAATCTACCCTCTTTCAGCTTAAAGTCATTCCCACTTGTCCTGTCACTACACACCCTTGAACAATGCTATTTTACTTTATATGGATGTAAGATTACTTGAATAAGACAGCTGATCATGTTCAGGATATTAGTTGATGCAGTGGTGACCTCTTCTATGACACTACTCCTTAATTTGTGGAAAGACTTTTGCTATGACCGTTTCATCCTGGTATGTGACATATCACATAGTTTGTGAATTGAGTTGGAGAATTTTTTCTGGGAAATACATAGCATGCTTTTGCCACTTAAGAAAAAAGAAAAGCTATATTCAAAGGAGAAAGAGGTAGGTACAACCCTGAGGTTGAGAAGAAAATACTTCACAATGAAAATATACCATACAATGAAAATGACTCAGTAACACAGTCACTAAACATAGTTACTAAACTTCAAGTTACTGCTCATGTATCAAATATGGTAGAAGTCAAAGGTTTTCTTAAAAATATTTTGTCAGCAATGGATGTGTCAATGAAAGCCAGAGGATCCTTATTTTAAGTGTTTGGGACAGAACCGTTTGTCAGACACTTCTGAAAAGCTCTTCAATCTTGAAATCTGATACTGAAATGTAGAGTTTGGTCAACTTAATGTGAAACCTGTTTCAAAGATTTTGCATTTAAAAAATCTAGTTTACTTCTCTCCATCTTTGTGTCCAAGGCATTGAAGGCCAGAAGTTCCATCTTCCATTCACAGCACAGTTGCTAATTAAATGTCATCTTTGAATCCTGAGAAGAGCTAGATTTCTTTCATACTATTCTTGAGTCATGTCAGGACAGCCTTTCAGCTGTATTCCCAATTGCAGTTCATTTATGCCAATAAATGTAAGGATCCAGGTATTTCCAAAGTAAGCATTGGAAGCAGATTCTGAAAGAGAATTTGGTTCCCTATTCCAAGCTGAGAAAAAATGGTTAGAATAGTCAGTACAGTGAGACATCTGGATGATGTCAGTTCCAGAGAGTATGAGAGGAGCCAGAAACAATTCTCTGATTTTTACTTTTCCATAAAGGTCAGCAAAGGGCAAATTTATTTCAGAGCTGTTTTGTACTATTTCACTGAAAGAATCTCCAAACTCAAGACAAAAGGTGCAAAACACTTCACAGCCTGAAAGCTAAAGATAAGCTTTACTTACATTTTGTTTGGTTGGGGTTTTTACCTTCAAAGCTCTAATTGTAGAATGGAATTTAAAAAACCAAACCAACTTCCCTGCACTTTGGGGTTAGGAGTCCTTATCAATTTAATTATTGATACCTTATCTGATGTTTTAAATGTCTTGGAGCCAGAGTTTCATTATTAAAGTGAACAGACCTGCTCTATGAATTTATATTTGTGCTAGCAGTCTATTCATTCAGAATTTTCAGGGATTGCTTTTGTGTATGTCCCTTCAGAAAGAAATAGATCACAATCATTACCACCAAAACCAAGCACCTTCATTAGTTTGGAGTTAGCTATTTTGCCATTCTGCTGTTCCATGACATGATTTAAGCTTTTTTGAATAAAATGGATAATATGGTAATAGGTTTCACATAAAGGGCTTAGAAGAGGCTAGGAATATGTCATGGAATAGCTTATTGTAAGTGAAGTTAAAGTAACTGTTCCTAGATTTGTCAGGTCATCAGTCTTTCAACAGAATTGCTAGACAAGAAAGAATGATCTGTCCTGATGCCGATGAAGAATATTTTGGACCCCATGACATCTGATATGTATGTTTTTCCCATTTTCCTAGATCTTGAAGTCATTCGAGGGTAATAGGAAGAGTAACTATAATTCTGATTTGTATCAGAATGACCTTTATAGAGCCGATTTACAGATCAAAGTGACATTTAGAGAGTAGAGTAAGATCTTGAATTTCCTTGTGCTAATTCAAATCCAGACACACAGAAAGTAAAGACCTGTCTTGTAAGTCATCTCTGAGAAGCCAAAGGTGCTTTCAGCAGTACTACAGTCACTCAGTTCTTCTGTATCAAAGATTTGTTATTAAAAAAAAAAAAAAAAAGAGGAATTAAAACACATCGAATTTTATAAACCACCATAGTCCTGGATGGACAGAAAATCCAGGCGTTTCCTAGTAACACTTCAGACATTCTTTAGCAACTTTCTTGAAATGTGGGCCACAAAACTGATTTTGTTAGCAAGATGTTGAGTGCAGGCATTACTTTCATAGTCAGACAAGAGATCTGTTTATATATCTAGGCCCTTATTATCTTTTCCTTCTCTGGTTGCTTTCATGTCTGATTCAGGTTAGAATTCAAGACGTTCTCCAGCCTGGCTTGTCATTTCTCTCCAGCATGCGTGCAGCTGACTGTTTCTAGCTAACTATGGTTAGTCATAGTTCCTGCTACTTGCCTTTGAGTTCTGTCCTATTTATTTCAGATTATAGCTGTAGCTGATGAAGGACTCCTGGAGGAAAGGTTTAAAATTCATTCTCTTTGCAAGCTCCCCTTCTTTTTCCCCAAATTTAGCATTTAAAAATGCAGTAGATTTACTCTCTGTATCCCTTTATCTTCAGTCATTAAAGAAAACTTAAAATTGTAGCAGACCCAGGACAGTACCCTAGGGAATTCTTTAATACATCCTTCCAGTTAGGCTGCAAACTATTCATATTCACAAATTGGCCTATGCCTCTTATTTTGCTGTTAACTGGTTACATTACAGTAAATGTATGTATGCTAAGTGGCTTCAAGTTTGTTGTTATTTAAATCACTCCTGCTTGATTTTTAACCTTTTTTGGTTCTTGCCTGTGCAGGAAAATTATGTCATTAGAACCTATCTGAAATGCTTAAGTGAATAACCAGGGAAATTTAACTTTTGGACATAACAAAGTGGGGAAAACAAGTCTGAGTCTTGCTACCAGACTATGTAGTGATCTATACTCATAAAATCCCTCCTGTCCTGAAGATCGCCTGCCTTGCAAAGTTTGGGGTTTTTTTCTGTTGAGTGACATTGAGTTACTGTTTTGAAAACGAAAAACTAAACGAAACTCCCTTCTTCCAGGACTGATACGTTAAAGCTGGAGGGTTGCCTTTGTTGGCAGTAGAGTTCTTTTCACAATGGAAGAAGCCAAATAACCTATAATATGTACTGGCTATTTACATCCTTGTTTCTCCCCTGACTTTTTTTTCTTTCCTTCCATTCTTCCTCTCTGCTGCCTTCCTCACTCTTCTCCCTCCCCACAGGATCTTGGCTTGGCCCAGATTTCTGCCACCAACACAATGACACCAGTTCCTTTGGGATCCCAGGCACATCAGATCTACAGGATGATGTGTGCAAAAGGCTATGCCCTGAAAGACTTCTCAGCTGTGTTCCAGTTTTTACGTGAAGAGGAAAACTTGTGAGCTGTCCTTTGGAAATGGACGTGATAACAAACCACATTTTTTTTATCTTTATGGCTCATTTTAGAAGTATGTGGGTTTAATCAGATACTGTGCATCCTGATCCTATACAGACTAATCATCTTTGGTTGTCTAGATCACAACGAACTCCAGGGTTTTTTCATGATTCTTGAAAAAGCAAGCCAGAGGAAGGTATTGTTTGGCAATAAGCCAGACAGTGATTTATTTTCTTCTTTTTGTTTTTGTAAAAACCATCGAAGTTTGGGGTTTTTTTCCTCTAGATGCAATAAATAAATACTTTTTTTATTAAACACTTAAATATTTGCATACAAAATAACTTACATTATGGCTATAAACTTAGGTGAATCTTGTATAGTAAGAGAATGTTACATAGTGATTTTATGACATATAGTGATCTATTAAAATTAAAGATTAATACTTTATGGAAAAAGGGAAGATTTGTTTAATGAAGAAACAGCTTGAGATGGATTTTTGGATTTTTTTAAATTTTTTTTCCTTGGGCGTAGTAAGCCTTGAATTGATCAGTAGTGAATTTTTCCTGGGATTCAGGTTGTAGATTAAGTTTATAGGCACACGTTTCTAAGTGGAGAGCTGTTACAGCATGTTTACCTGTCAGACGTAGTTAAAATAAAATAGAATATGTGTCCCTCTTGTAAAGCTCCATTACTGTATTTTGCTAACCCGATTTTATATTTTCTTGTTTTCTGTCACACATTTTCAGAACTCCAGAACAGCATTTACCAGAAGTTCTGATAAAGTGTACATTTGTTTTGGGTAATTATTGAAGTATTTTAAATCTAAACAAACCCCATTGTTTTGAAAAGAAATAAAAATCTATACTAGTAAATGGTCACTGTATGATTATTTGCTTTTTGTTTTGATGTGCTCCTGTACTTAGAGTTAACCAAAACCTTGTAGCGGTCTCATTTTTTAATTTGCTTGGTTTTCTACAGATTATCTTGCAAAATCAAGCTTTTCAAGAGCTGTTGCTGTGAAATACAGATGATGATATATTTGCAAAGACCATCTCTTTGGTCTTGCAAAAGTACAGGTACACACTTGGCTTTATGAATATCAATACTCATGTTGATTTCACTAGAACTACTTACATTCAAACTTACTTGCAGGCTCTAGGCTTAACGGTCAATTATGCATTTACATTCCTGTTTCGGTTGTATGATGAATCCTTTTATATATGCACATTTGGGTAACAAAATTGTGTGCTTGAATTAGCTTAAGTCTGTGAATAATCTTCTGAAAATTTGGACATTATATTTTAACACCTTAGTAACGTTATACAGAAGTCATTAAATAGTACTGGTTGATCTGTTCTTCTTCTAGTTTTCTTTGAAAACTGTGTGATATTCTAGGTTATTCAGGGATTTGGGGCTCATGAATGTTATATATGAGTGTAGGACTACTGGGAACAATCTTTTAAAAATTGTATCTTTCTGATAAAACTACTGACTTCTGCCTCACATAATGCAAAGGATGGATCTAGTCTCATAATGAATTTGGGGTCGGATAATAAAGATGTTTTTGCTAGTAAGATCCCTGTTCATTTAGAAGTTTTATAATAATGGATGAGGTAAGGAACTGTAGGGGAGTCCTGGTTAATTTTGTCTCTTCTGTATTTGACTTGGGGATCTGGCTGGCATCAGCAGGACTGCTGCGAGATGCTTCCTTTACCCCAGCCTGTAGCAGCGTTTGCTGTGAATGTGTTTGCTGGTAACACTGGGATTACAGTAACCCTGGGCTTGCAGGAAGCATAATCATTTGTTTTCTTTAAATACACTTAGTGAGACTTTCTGAAGTCTCTTGAAGCTTTTAGCTTCTGAAATCATAAAGTGTGTTACAAATGTGGAAACTTCATTGTTATTTTTATGTTTCTCACAAAGGATTATATCTTAGGCTTCCTGGGATTCATTTCTCTTCCCCCACAACCTCTGATCAAATTTTAAATTCCTACTCCAAAGCATAGGGTGCTCAAGTTGGAAGAAAGGCTGCCAGAATGCTATTTTTGCAAACCAACAGAATGTTTTGTGGTCTCCTTCTTGGAGGAGGATTTTGTCTGAAATTAAAAACAAAACAACAACAAAAACCCACACCCCCAAGTTGAGGGCAGACAGCCAGCATGTAAAATTTTAGAACAAGCAGTTAGTTTGGCAAAGTTAGAAACAACTTTCTAATCAGGTCTTATTATGGAAAGTGCCTTGAAACTTTTAATGATGTTCAATACCTGAAGCTAGTCATACAATTTATATTAGAATACACATTTCTTTTCCTAATTCTGCAGGGGAATATTGCGTGACTGGATGCTTATAATGGTGGTGGTATTCAGGCTAGCAATGGCTATTCTGCATGTGCATATAAATATAATGTATCTTTTGCTTGGAGTATATTTCTGGTCTATGGAAATTAAGCAAGTACTAAACCTATTGTCACTGCCAGAAACAGGTGTTGAAAACTGTAATTTGTTGAGTTGAAGAGAAAGATTGTAAAATTGGTTGAATTTCGACACTAATTACCTCCCAGTACATACACACAAATTAGGTGCAACAAATTAACTGCATATTTTGTAAATGTCCCAAAGGGAAACTTGAGGGAACTTCTTTTTAAATTAGTTTGAATGTTAAACTAGCCCTCCCATCATGCTTACTTTGGAAACTCACCTATATCAAATGCATTTATTGACTAACAGGAAAACATTGACAACCAATAAAAGTAGTGATGGTTTAAAAAAAAATCCTAAGCAGCTTTCTCTAATTTATGATTCAGTATAACCCGTCTTCAGCGACTATTTTTGGTGGTCTTTAACAGAGGAGGCCTTCTATTAAAACTGGTGAGTACTATATTGCTTTAACTTTATTTATGGCTCTTACAAGCCTCAGGAGGAAGAGGAGGTATTCTGACCAAGTATTATATGTGATATTCTGGCTCTGCTTTAATCAATGGGAACTTTGCCATAAAAGTGCAATGCAGCCAAGATTTCACAGTGTGTGTTGAATGCCCCGCGTGATTCCAGTGCAGATGTGGCCAAGATGCAGCTCTGGAGGAGCTCGAGTACATCCCTCTGGCCAGGGATTGTGCCACATTACTGGCATCAGGATTATGAGAAGTTGGTGTGGTGGCTGTGAAAGGAAGGAGCCAGCATGAGCTGCTGAAGTTGATATTGCTGGTCTCCCTCCCAGCCCTGTCCCCACAATGGATGAGAGAGATGCTGAGAGGGACAGAATAGCTGCTGTCCCTGCCAGCCTGAGAACAGAGCTACCTGTCTTTTCAGCTGCTTAAATCTTATGCCTCTGCCACAAGAGGATTTTATTAAATGGTTTGTAGAATAGAAAAACTGTGGCCACCCCTGGAGCAAGGAAAGAAGGGTTAACATCATACAAGGGCTACTGTATTTATGCAATAGATGTCTTTCTATGCTTTCAGTCCACCAGCTTGATTTGTAAGACCAAGTCTATCCAGGCACAACTCTGAGGGTACTAACCTGACTGGTAGTGATACCTGTTGCCTTAGATTTGTATTTACATCATCATCGTCTTCTCCTTCACATAAATGTAGATTAGTTTAGCTTTTCTCGAGAAAACTTGAGAATACTGTCTGTCTTTACAAGCCTGGCTAATAAGGTGTGGAAACTTTGAAGCAGTTTAGAAAGCTCTGTTGTGTTTTCTTGGTGCACTAACAGAATATGTGGGGATGGGGTTCTCTGCAGTGTTTTAGACTTAAGGTTTGCTAAGACCCTCTTAAGTCCCCCTATGAGACTTGCAGAGGGGACACCTTTTTATTGACTTCAGTATCAAGTTCTTAGAACACTTCCTGCAAGCCCTGCAAAACTGAAAAAATATATTTCACTAGTGGGAGAAGTTTACTTCAACATCTACGAATTAGAATAAACTGTGTTCTTGACAAGCTCAGGCTTTCAATGGCAAGAATGTCTTTGCCATTCTGTGCAAGAGCACAATGGATGTATGGTCTTTGAAGGCTACTGGTATGTTTAAGATTTGTTGTTTTCTGTATGTGATTTGTCACAATCCATCTTGCCTGCTGGCACAGTTACACCTTTTTTTTCTAATAAGAATAATAGCAACAGTTACAAAATATTCTTAGGTGGACAGAGGATAAATATTCCTGTGGTTGCTGTGTTCAATAGATGTATGACATAGATCTAGGCATCCATATGGCAGTGGTTTTTTTTTTCTTGTTTTGGCATTCGTCATGGATTGTGAGCACTTGGGGTAAATTGAAACAGGTGGGCAAACCTTTCTAAACTACTCAATGTCTCGTAATAACCACTGTATAATTAAAAGCCGTCTGGCTCTGTCTGTATTTACACCCAACTCTTCCTTTTGACCTTGACCCTGAGATGAGGTCTGGATTTTCATTTCAGGTCAGAGATAACTCAGTCTGTTTCTTCGTTTAGTTTTAATGAGCCTCCATTAGTGATGACAGTGTCCTGTTAGTTAAAGTAAATGCTATATATGGAGATAATGTGCTAACATACGTTTTATGAAGTTCACTAATTTCAAAAAGACTTGGAGCACTGGACAAAAGCAACTGAAATACAGCTGATAAAAAGGTAAGTTTGTATGTACCTGAAATGCGAATATTGTTACAATACGTTTCAGTCATTACAGTATATTTAGAAAAGAAATTAATTGTATTTTGTCTTCTGGAAATTCCAAGGAGAAACCAGACAAGTAAAATAAAAGTAATAGCCTTCAAATGTGGTCAGACATAAGCTTTATTTGGCCAGAATCAAGTGTTACTGCTGTCTATCTTCCATTTTGAGACGCATGACAGATCTAGCTTGGATTTATGCAGGCAATTTATAGCACCAGCAGCTGTAGCGAAGCAAAGGATGTGGGAAGCAATTTAAATAATACTTCTTAAAATCTCTGAGCTGCCTATTTTCTTCTGAGCGCTTTCTTCCAAATCATTTAGCGGTGTTAACTGGGCTGTAATCACTGATTGCAGGCATACCTGAGCCAGCTGTAAGCTAGCTTGTTTGCTTATCTACAGCCCTCTAGTCCCAGAGGCTTTCCTGGGAAGCTGGGTAAATACAGGGGCAGCAGTGCTGTGTAGACAAGCTGTTTCCAGTAGCTAAACTGGCTAGTTTGTGGCTAGAAATAGTAGGCCATTTTTGCTTTCCAGTCATGTTATTCCATGGCTGTGGAGCCTGGAAGCTTTCAGTGACCGGTATTTAGTAGGCGAATGCATTAGATGTTGTAGCTGTTACCTGTTTTACAGCATCATCTTGGCAGTCTCTGCCCTGTTTTCTCTTCCTCTGTTTGTACAATGCCTAGGAAAAGTCCCCTTGGTGTTGTGTAATTGTGTCAGGCAGCCATCAGTCCGCTGTCCACAAAACAGACTAACTACAGTCACTCACTAGTGACTGAAGCTGGAGCTACAGACGCATGGATTTAAGATGTGCTTGGGCTCTTCTCCATTTCTACATACAAGGTTTTCAAAACAAGCTCTACCTTGTTTGAACCTGTATATTGCATGGCACCAAGACCCCACAGTATGTCAGTTGGTTGTTTTTTCACCACATTTGACTGTGTCTGAGCTGAATTTGCTGTTCATGCTCAAAAATAGCCAATTCCTCGTCCCTGTCAGGAGAAGGGGAGAAAAACACTGCTAGGCAATTGGAGGTTGGTAGGTCACAGCACCTGATGCCAACATGTTACTCTCACTGGAAAGCAATTGGATCCTGTCCCCGCACCATATTGCTATGACCTTTTTCCTCTGCTTGTCCCTGGGCTGATAACTGTCAGCTTATGTGCATGCAATGGAGTCTGTGCTTAATAAAAAGGAGAAGTAGGCAGCATCTGCTGCTGTGTGACC